AACAGATTTGGATTTAAATACCTTCTTCTACAATTCAAGCATGAGCTGTACAAGAAATGTCCCCATGGTGATCAGAGTATCAGTATGAGGTACATGCGGAAAGATTGCTGTAGGAAGATAGGTCAGCCCTATTTCATGCTGACTTCTGTGGTGTGGGCACAGCAGCAGAGATGATGGCCTCGATGGCATCATCGGAGTGACTTTTAATTAAAAACAAGAATGGAAAAATCAAGAGCTGAGATTTACCCGGGAAACAGCAATGACATTCAACCCAGAGGGAGATTTTAAAACACCATTTGATTGCATGTTACTGGGGAAAAAATGGTTCTCATTATAAAAATCCTATGAAAAGTTGGGAAAATAATGAACACTATAAATTAGATTTGGATTTGACTGGCTTTGTAGCCTCAAATTCTGTGTTCCTTTAGCTTCTCTGTATCTCGTTAAGCTCTTAGTATACTACCAGGAAGAAAGTATGTGTGACCCATTCTTCTAACTTGAGTAAGCAAAAATTATAATAGTCCTATTTACGATATAAATAGCAAAAAGAAGAAATAATAAAGAAATGTTCAAATAGAACTGCCCAAGTGCTTAAGAGAACTGTGCAGCTCAGCTAAGTGACACCAATGAGGAAAACCTAATGCAATTGCTGAAGAAGAGGAAAATATATTTTCAGTAGCATACATTCCGGAGCAAAGAAAAAAATAAGGAAAAGATGTAGGTTTTTAAATAGATGGAAAAATCCTTGTTTTCTAAAATCTATCTTTAGACATTTGGTGCAAATTCTAATAGCTACAATTAAATTTCTTTCTAATAATACATTTTTAGATACAGAATCATTCTTATTTCAGATTCCAAAAATTTGTTAAAGGCAAAATGCTATGTATTTTAAACAAGCAAATATTTTTAAGTACCGTGATTATGACTGACTGCTGCTTACATGTGTGGTGCAAGATGACTGCCCTGAAATCTCAATTTTCTTTTCTATAAAATGAGGGTAGAAATCTGTGCCCACAGTTACCCGGATTATTAATTACATGCATATACATTAAATTACATACATAGTATTGTACTGGGTAGCTGGCAGGAATCTAGTAAATGTTGTAGGGGAATGCGGGTACTGGCCTTGGTATGTTAAATTGTTCCCAGATACAATTCGCATATATTTTACCAAATCAGTTTACTGAGCATCAATTTCAAAATCTGCAAAAATGATGGAAAACTGTCGAATGTGTGTGTGTGTGTGTGTGATGTTTATATTTGTGTGTGCATATGAGAAACATTTGAGATTTGCAATTTGCTAATAAATATAAAACATCTTGGGAGAAAAAAAGATGCCACTCAGATATAAACGATTACTTGTCGTTACCCCCAGTTTTGTTGACTAAAAAACATCAGTTGCAACATCTCATCATAATCTTATCCACTTCTCTTTTATGGAATTAAAACTTGATTCAAGTCATGTTTTGTGGCCTTTCAGTGTCTAGGAGATGGACGGACCTAACTGGAAATAAACAGAGCCAGGCATCTTAAGAGTGCAAAGTCCTTCTCTCTCCCACTCCCGGAGGAATTTATGGCCAGTAAGTTGTTCTCTAATGAGCACAGAATGAGAGCTTTGCATCTTCTCTTCATTAGTTTGACAGATATTCATTTAAATTTGAAAAGATTCCCAGGCTTGGGATAGCAAAGGAAAGTTCTGAATTCCTTTTGCGTCTTAATTCTGTTTTTGTTGTGATGAAGCTAGGGAATGTCAACAGCTGAAGAGAAATAAAGCCCATGTCTTCATCCAGGGACCTCTACATTTTCTATTTACAAGTGGCTGCAAACCAACACACTTTTGCATTGCAGCTATGAAGTCCAACACAAAGCACCAGGTTCTGCAAGAATACTGTTGAGTTCAGTTTCTATGAGGGGTGGATTTTTTATCTCATGCCTAATAAGGGATAGGCTGGCCTTAAATAGCCAGCTTTACATCAGAATAAGTCACTGATTTGAGCATAATGACGTGAAGTATACACTAAAGTTGATAAATTCTCTAAACTATGAATTGCTTTTGTCCTCAGTATTTAAAACCATCATGAATATTAGGCTACCACCAGCCTTTGGTTATTTATGGAAATGAGTAAACGAGGCTATCTATCTATCTATCTATCTGATCATCTATCAATCTATCTATCTATCTGATCATCTCTCAGCCATATATATACACTTTTAACCAATAGTAACGCTAACCTTTATCAAGGTTGTTAAAGTATAGCAACAATGGTAATGACTCTTTCCACTTTTTCACACCCTTTCTCTAGCTATTCCCTGCACAGTGCCCAGTGGAAGAGCACACAGGGACTGAAACTCACCTACCCTCAAGGTCTTAGCCAGGCACTGTGATACTGGCTGCATACATTCTGAGTGGTGCCTGCCCCCAATAACATAAAGAAAGGCCCCTATGGGCTAGCTGTGTTCCTGACGAATACTGTTATTAGGGAAATGTCTAAACAGACAACTTTGGGAGGAAGCCACATCACATGCCTAATCTACCAAAGCGAAACATTTAGCTGTTGAGCAGGTTCATTCATCAGGCTGATCTTGTCTAGCAGTTCTTTGGACCAAGTGTCCCACCCCCACCTCTGCCACTACCATTTTCCCCATTGACTTAAAGCAGATTTTTTTGTTTTATCAACTCATTTTAACGAAACCAGAACATAACATTTAAGGAGGAAAGGGATGCAGAATTTTAGTCCTGATTTAAAGAAAGGGTAACAGAGTTTGCAAAGCATCACCTGTTCTCTCAAGTGCATTGACTTGGTCATTAGAATGCATTCTCATTCTCTGTGAACCTCATTTGCCTATTGCAGCAGAGATGGTGTAGCACAGTGCCAGGTCAAGACGATTAGGTGAGAGCCCCTCTTTACCACTTATTAGTGGAATAACCTTGAGCAAGTTTTACCTCTTTGAGCATCCATTTCCTCTTCTGTAAAACACGAATGATATTGTTAGGCTTAGGTGAAGTAATATATGTAAGGTGCTTAACAATGTTGCCATGCAGAGCAATTTCTCAAAGTGTGGGCCCCAGACCATTAGAGTAACCTGGGAACTTGTTAGAAATACAAATTCTCAGGTCCCAAATAAAAAACTCAGGGATGTGGGGGAAAATATTTGCAAGTTATATAACTGATAAGGGGTTAATATTCAGAATATATAGAACTCAACAATAACAACAAAACAACCCGATTATAAAAAGGGCAAAGGACTTAAATAGACATTTCTCCAAAGATGATATACTGATGTCCAATAAGCACATGAAAAGATGCTTAAAATCACTAATAATTAGGGAAATGCAAATCAGTACTACAATGTGATACCACCTCACATCCGCTGGATGGCTAGTATCAAAAAAATAGAAAGTAGGTCTCGGAGAACATATAGAGAATTTGGAACCCTTGTGTACTGTTGGTGGGAATGTGAAATGGCACAATTGCTATGGAAAACAGTGTAGTATTTCCTCAAAATATTAAACAAAAGATTACCGTGTGATCCAGCAATTCCACTTCTGGGTATATACCCCAAATAATTGAAAGTAGGTTCTCTAAGAGATGTTCATACACCCATGTTCATTATTCATAATAACATCCACTTCTGGGTATATACCCAAAATAATTGAAAGTAGGCTCTCTAAGAGATGTTCATACACTCATGTTCATAGCGGCATTATTCATAATAATCAAAAGATGGAAGCAACTCATGTGTCCATCCACAGACAAATGGGTAAATGAAGTGTGGTCTCTGCATACAGTAAAATATTATTCAGCCTTGACAAGAAAGGGGTTCTGACGCATGTTACAACATAGATGAATCTTGAGGACATTATGCTAAGTGAAATGAGCCAATCACAAAGACAAATACTGTATGATTTTATTTATATGAAGTACCTAGAGTAGTCTAACTTACAGAGACAGAAAGTAGATAAGTGGTTGCTAGGGGTAGAGGGGAAGGGGAAATGTAGGGCTGTTTAATGGTATAGAGCTTTAGTTTTACAAGATGAAAATAGTTCTGGAGATTGGCTGCACGATGATGTAAATGAACTTAACACTGTTGATTGTACATTTTAAAAAGATTAAAGATGGTAAATCTTATGTGTATTTTACCACAATTTTTTAAACAATTTAAGGGTTGAGCCCACCAATCTGAGTTTTAATAACCCTCCATGTAGTTCTGATGCTTGCTCAAGTCTGAGAACCACTGATGTCAAGTAAACATTTAATAAATGGTGGCCACTATAACAATAATATTTATCATTATTACATATGCATCAGTAAACTTTCAATGATGTTCAGTATTGTTAGACTTAAAGTAGACTTCCTAATATTCTAATTCTTGAAAATTAGTGGGTTGTATTTGCAAAATTATATTAGGTGAAGTAGAATGTACAATCAATAAGAACACTCCTCTTCCCTAACCATTTTCCATTTAGGAAAGCTTGTGTATGTTTCTAATTTCCCGATTGCTGAATAGTGAAGGGCAGTCATTTTATTTCTGTAGTATACATGCAGCCTGGTGAGGTCAAGTAATCATTTTTGCAGGCGCTCGGCACCTCACGGTCCATACAGAACATTTCTAGGACCTGTTTCTGACTGTTATTGCCCTTGGGATCACAGTCCTACCTTTTTTTTTTTTAATATATGAAAAGCCAAATAATGTTGTAAACTTTATCTTTCCTTTCAGATAGCTCCATCAGAATCACAATAGATGTTAAGAGCTGTGTTAGTGGTCTTTGTGCCCATTTATGACTTCCTAACATTAACTGAACAAAGTGTAGAATTATCATATACCCAAACCATTCGAGAGTCTGACTACAGTTAACAGAAGAGACAGCATTAATTTGCTTTCTCAATAGATACTACTGAACTGTAAACATCTTAGTAGCTTTGAATTAGGCTCAAACTTGTTCCAGGCAGCTCTTGCTACCTGGTATCCATTTTGCTTTATTTTTATTTATCTTTTAGAGGGCAAAGGGTGAAGGGCTTTGAAGAATTCTCCAGGCAAGAAAGGAAAGCATTTTCTGCAAGGAAAATGGATGGCATGTTGTTTTCCTTTACAAAGGGCAACGAGGATATAATCTCAACGCTGCACTTGACCATCATCTGTCAAACCAAAGCAAACAAGCCAGTGCCAGTCTTTCTTCATTGTTTAACTAGGACAGAAAATAACTGCCATGTGGCGGTTGTCTAGCCAAAGAAAACCACCCTCATTTCAGAAAATGTTTACTCATTTGCTCTCATTGAGTGATGTGCCATTAAGGTATGAGTTAAATTATAGCATTTTGTGGAAAAGTTGTATTTGTATAGCAAAACCACAGGTGTTCCTTTTTGGTAGTTTTGGCTTTTTGAAAAGATGATAGTATGTTCTGAGGATTTTTCTTCTTTGAAGACGAGGAAATTGAAGCACCAAAAAAAAAAAAAAGGAATAGTGTGCTTAGCATTATATGTATTAATGTGAAATTTGGCAATTAAACCTCCTCTTTTGCATATGAAATAACCGTACCACCGTGTTTTATACCATCTACTTTTATGTATTTTTTCAAAAAGCCACCTGTCTTGATACAGTCTTGTACTGATTCTTGTTTGTATGTGTATTTTTTTCCAATGAGACGTCCCCACATCCCCATAGAACTGTCCCTAACTTTTCCATGTTTCCTCTGTAATCTGGCATTTTATTTTAAAATGCTGTTGGCGTCCTTGCAGAGGGATCCTGGTGCTACTTTTCTCCAAGCCAAATCTCAAGACTGTCTCAGTAGCACTTTGTTGACTGAGAGATCCAGAGTTAAAGGTGAGTCAGAGATTCTGTGTGCACTTTCTCACTAGTGGACGAGCTCTCTCCAGATCCAGCTAAGGAGAGGCTGGGATTCGCAGGATTGGTGATGTGAGGTTTAACCGTCTCAACCTATTTGTCCTCCACTGTGGGACTTGCTTGAGGAATTATAAGATAATTTCCCCCCATTAAAAAAAAAAATTGTGGTAAACTATACTAACATAGACTGATTATGTGTCCCCCCATCAAATTCATATATTTGAATTTGAAATCTAACCCCCCGTGTGATGGTACTTGGAAACGGGGCCTTTATGAGGTGATTAAGTTATGAAGTTTAAGCCCTCACGAATGGGATTAGTGCCCTTATAAAGGAAGCTCCAAAGAGCTTCTTCACCACTTTTGCCATGTGAGATTATAACAGAAAGACAGCCATCTGTGAACCAGGAAGCAGCCTGGTTCATACACAGAATCTACCAGCACCTTGATCTTGGACTTCCCAGCCTCCAAAACTGAGAGAAATAAATTTCTGTTGTTTATAAATTACCCAGGCTATGGTATTTTGTTATAGCTATCCAAAGAGACGGAGACCTATACATAACAGAAAACTGACCATTTTAACCACTTTTAATTGTACAATTCGGTGTCATTAAATACATTCGCAATGTTGTGCAAACACCGTCACTCTCTGTCTCCACAGCTTTGGGTAATTTTTTAAAAAGATTTCTTGCCTCAGCTCTCAAATTCCACTTGACTTTGTTCTTGCTTTCTCTCAAAGTCTCTGCTCCTGTCCTGATTATTTAACTTGGAGAGAGGGAAGGATTTTTTTTTTTTTTTTTTTAAACTCAATATGAAATATGTTTTTGGGGGTTAAAACACAT